AGACTTCATTGCAGGGATTTTTAATTTATTTTACATATAGAATTATGGCTGACAAAAATGTAAAAGTATGAAAAGATGATTCAGAATTTGATAAAATATTCAGATATTTTTGTTAAGTTTAAGCGTGACAGACAAACAAGCAACAGACAAAATGAACATTTTGTGATCAGCGATATAATTCAATTACATAATAAAACTATCTGCAATAATATACATTATTACTCAAGTTCCATCAGTAATTTGCATGAATTGTTAAAATGCAGAAATATTTAAACCCACGGCATGGTATTAGAGAACACAAAAAACAGTCAACTAAAATCAATATTCACCAAATTATCAAAATGCCTGAAAAATGATCAAACCAATGTTTTTATTAATCACATGTTTAAGAAGAGTACTAATTTATATTAGAGCAAAGTATGTAAAGCTTATATCGCAGGCTCTGAAGATGTTGGCTATCCCACCAATTGAATTTTAAACTGTGTTATTTGCTTGAAACGAAAAACAAAAATAATTTTCAATAAAAAAAATCAAATATGTCAAGAAATACTGTTTTTGCGTTCCTACTACCACACTTACACGAATTCGCTGGTGTTCAGTTGTGTCTGAGCTATTTATCGGAAGAACAGTTTTCTCCAATAACAACTGAAAATGGAGATCGTTTGTAAATATCACATACGATCGTAAAAACAACATTAAGTCGATCCTATTAGTAGTAATCCAATTGAAATTTGTAAGCCTCGGGTTAAAAACTAGAATATATACTAAAAAGATTTTCAGAAAATCCTATCCAGAAGAAAAAGAAAGCTTATATATTTTCAATTAAAAAATCATGCATTACTTTAAAATCTAAAGATCATTATATCTAAATATCTAGATTCTATCTGAAGACCAAAAAAACATGGAGTGGAGCTTTACAAAAGTAATATTAATGTAAAGAAACTAAATGATTGGAATGACTTAAAAATGAATAAAGCAAAAACAAAAAAATTAAATCGACTAACTGAGATATTTCTATTAAATCTTATTAGTTCATTAAGGTAGTTTATGTAGTCGAGCACTATATGTATTGTTTGTTCAGCCAAGTGGCTTGCACCAATTGATGTATTTTCTTGTATAATTACCTAAATCCAATCATTTATACATATTCATTTCATTGATTTTAATTTAACTACTACTACTGTAAGATATATTTAAGTATAAAATATTCATTTTATAACATTTCAATTATCTCATTAATATGAAGAAATCTAAATCCTTATGCTTTAAATTAAACTATAAGCATTTTTTCTTATATTATATATATGGAATCAAACAAATTTACTTTACAAGCTAGTTTCAAATTTATACAATGTTCATGATAATAAAAAATAATCCACTGATCCGTCTCAATGAATTATTACTAGATTAGAAGCAATAACAGCAATGAAGATAAACCTACTCATATACATCTTTAAACCTCTCCTAAATTTACTTCAATTATTAAAATTGAGTAGGTTACTCCCCATATTTCACCCTAAAGCAAATTTATGTAAATATATGTATATCTAACCTTTTGCCAGGGATGTGATTTTATCTGCGGGAACTTAAATTCTGTATAGTTGGGATTCATCTCTCTAATTTGTTCCCTTGTTGGTGTCCCCAGAACCTTGATTATTTCGACCAGTTGATCTACTCCCGAATCTCCTGGGAAAATCGGCTGTCCAGCAACAGTTCTGCTAGTACACAACCCGCACTCCATACATCTAAGAAATAATAATAAATTAAAAATCAAATACATAATAGAATACATAAATGAGTATTTTTTATTTATTTATTTATTTATTAGACTCTAATCGGCTATATACAGTTAATTATATAGTAGTATAGGTATTGGTAAGTATAAGCATTGATTGATTAAAAGTGGTAAATTGATAAATTAAACAGGAAAGCATATATTATTTATGAATGATGTGCACAATTTTTATCAGATGAATTGCAGTAGGGTAGAGCGGGGCTAGTTGAGCATAGGGGCAAGTTGAGCAATCGAAATATCTCGATAACTATTCACCCTTCGTTTATGCATTATATGGCGGAAAGATAGAGGTTTGGGATAAATAAACATCCCGCCATCGCTAGTGGCCGCTGGACAAATGAGTGAGGCTCACGGGCGTTTTGTTTATTTTGAGACCAAAAAGTAAAAAAGTAATTCATCACGAGTTTTCGTTTGGTTTAGTCAAATGTTATTTATTTTTAATCAGGTAAATGTTATTCTCCCACATAATTATAGTACTTTTAATATGCACAGAGATTCTGCGTATAATTCTCACGGTTTTTTCATAAACTCACTTTTATTTTGAAATTCCGAGTTGGGGTTAGTTGAGCATAGTTGCTAAACTTGTTCTGTCACTAAGACAATTACCAATAACTTCCAGAAATTTATTATTTTTAAGATTTAAGCTAAGTCTATGAGTAATAATATGAAGAAATAATGATTTTAAACAAAAATACTGAATATAATGGTAAAATAATTCCTAAGATACGATATTGTTTTGTTGATTCTACTTTTCGTTAATTATTCAAAGCAAATTTCTATAAGTTTTGTATTCTTTGTCAATAAAGACTATAAATATAGAACTGGTTATTAAAAACTTATTTTATTTCATCACTAATCGACATTGAACCTATGATTTCATTATACTTCATTAGTGCTCAACTTGCCCCACCTATGGGGTACATTGAGCATACTTGACTTTTTGCATTTAAACAGCTGTAGCTTTTAAATTTTATTTATTACCAAAAAATAGTATTAATACTTTTGTTAAGCGATAAACAACAAATCCATTAAGCCGTATAGCAATTTATTGAGACTTTTCATTGAGAAGCTACATCCGTTTAAGTAAAAATTTGCTCAACTAGTCCCGCCCTACCCTAAGTAACAAGATTTTTAAATTGATGTGACCAATAATATTTCAATTTACATGCAAATCAAGTACTTTTTGTAGTTGACGCTTAATAGCCGCAATAAAAATAGCTGACTTATAACTATTCGATGCAGACAAATTTGTGTAGTAACTTAAACAAAAATCAAATTATGTTGTTTGGTTATATAAAAAGGCCTCGAGGACAAGCAATTAATAGAAAGAAGCCAAAGTAGAAAGTCCCGAAACCTTCCAAAGTACTAAACAAATGATTGAATTATATTTCACTTACCGATTTTAGTGGTGTAATCGATGGCCCCAAATATTAATTCAGGGGCTCGGTAATAACGCGAACAAATGTACGAGACATTTGCTTCGCCTTTGACCAAATGTTTAGCGCTGCCAAAATCACACAATTTCAATACGCCCGTTTCCGGGTCCAGGAGTAAATTCTGGGGCTTGATGTCGCGGTGGCAAATGCCCAGGGAGTGGATGTACGCCAGGCTCCTGAACAGCTGGTACATGTACAGCTGGGAATAAAAAATAATAAAAGTTAGAAATAATAAATAATAAAATAATAGAATTTATTGCTCGTTTTTTCACATTAAACTATTTTTATGTTTTGTAGAAAAAATGTAATATCCGGCCGGATATTGGATAATAGTCTGAAATAATTTATAAGATGCATTATGTTCTTAAATGCATCAATTTGGAAGAGTTTTAAGCCATTAATTATAAATTCAGAACAAAAATAAAATTAAAAAAAAAATATAAATTAATTCAGTATATATCATTTATAATTAAAACATCTTCCAATAAATATTTGAGATTAATGAGAGATAGACATTAATGCACAAGGCGTAATAGATTCTTTGTTAGCATGCTCTTTATTTACCAATTTTTTAAATTAATGTATTGGAGTATTAAAATAATATTTGTTCTATTGAAATGTATTATTTGAGCTGCTCATTTAACAACGTTTAAACAACATTTATTAGCAACTACTGGTTCCGGACTCGATACCCACTTCAACCAGCTCGATATCAAACAGTAATTTTTTTTTATTACTATATTTGTTACAACTGCAAAATAATTAACATCAAGTAACAGTAATGAACAATAACATAAATTTAATAAAAAGAGTAAAAAATAAAGGATAGAATTTTCAATAAAATGTTATCCGTAGTATATTGATTTAATTTATAATAAAAGCAAATAATAATAGTAATAAAATTAATAAGTAAAATAAATAAAATTTCTGAATAATAAAAATAATACTAAAAAAACAATAAAGTAGAATAAAAACAATAAGTGAAAGATAATAATTAATATAACAAAATAACAATATTAGAAATAATAAGATAATAATATCAAGCAGTAATATAGTTTCAAGTTAAAATAGCATCTCGAGACCAAGTCTGTCATTTTCGGTTATTTGATGAAAATCTAATAAACATCTCATCATATGGGAAATGGTTAACCACTGGGTTGCAATCTAATAACACTAGATTTAGGGTTACTACAGCTCACACAAATAAAAATCTAGGATGTTCAAGGAATGTTCAAGAATAAATTAATCTTTTATATGGTCCTAATTGCTGTTCAACCAAAAGTTAAAGAATGTTTTGCATAAATATGTAAAATAAATCTCTGATGTTCAAGAATTTTTTTCTGATGTTCAAGGAATATCCAACAAAAATTTCAAAGAATAAATTAATCTTCATTTAATATCAGTATTTTATTATAACTTTGTAATTCACTATTGTTGTCATTATTATTATGTTCAGTTCTTTTGTATCTCATATTTTACAGTATATTTAAAAAAAAACTGTTTTTTACAGTAACAAATGTTGCAAGAGATGGAAAGTAACAAATAACCAGAATATATTTTTTCCAAAATTATGAAGAATGAGCATAGTTATTATGTTATGCTATTATGGGCAAAAAGAGTTTTCAGGTTACAAAAGTATAAGAAGTCATTTACAACTTTTTTAAAATTTCAAAAATAAAAATATTTTGTGATGGAGGTAGGTGGCAATTTTATAAAAACAGAATCAAAAACTCCTTTTCTAATTCTCTTGTTTTTAAGAAGTAGTCTCCTACTTTCCAGACCTTCCTTTCTTTCGTTTTTTTTGTATTGAATATTTTTTAATTTTTTGTGAAAATTAACATTTTGGATTATATAATAAAAACTACCACAATGATATTTTATGTCAAGATTTCATTAAAAAGCAGAAGCAAAAACTCTTACTTTCTTTCCCACTTTCTTTTGTTTTTTCTATTAAACATTTTTAAATTTTTGTGAAAATTAACATTTTGGATAATAAAATATAAAACTAAAACTAAATAACTAAATATAGATTTTTGATGTCAAGATTTCATCAACTGTTATATTTATACGACCACATTTCTTCATATCGATTATAACTTTTTTAGTGGTATCTGTTTTGCACGTTTTATGCAGTAATCATTTTCATTTACAACTTTTTCAAAAATTCAAAAATAAAAAGCAGATTCAAAATCTCCTATTTTAATTCTCTCGTTGCTTACAAAGTAGTCTTCTATTTTCCTATTGAACATTTTTAAATTTTTTAGAAAAATTAACATTTTGTATAATATAATAAAGAACTACCACAATGATTTTTGATGTCAAGATTTCATTAAAAATGTAACATTTGTGCTACCAATTTCTTTATGATTTTAATGTTTTTCTAATGACATGAATTATTTATATTTATGTTACCTTTATAAAGCTGATAGGTATCGTCTGTTTAGATTTGGAATAATGCCTCGCCACTTTATACACCGTCTCTGGTATGTATTCGAGCACTAAGTTCAAATACACTTCATCTTTCTGAAAAAAATAAGAAAAAAATATTATAGACGAAAAATTATATGCACTACATTGCTAAATATCAAAATATAGAATAATATAGCCAAACAAAAAGTAGACATTATTAAAAACTCACAGCTAAAGCACACGTATGGACTAAAAAACATAGAGCATGCAACAATTATAAAAATACTTTAAATAATATAATATGATCTACTATGAATGTTGAATACAATGAAGTGTTGTTTCTATACTATTCTATTTAATTCATTTCTGCTAAATTAATCTAAATTTGCAGTAATTTTATGAAATCCTTAACTTCATTTCTCTAAGAAAGGTTCATTTCTAAATGCTAATTACAATGACAAACCGATCATGTCATATTTGAAGTATGACTTTAATTACATTATTGTTTTTAAATATTATACATATTTTTAATGCTATTATAAATATATAAATTATAATTTATCATTATATAAATGTGTATAATGGTTGTCACTAATAAAAGTGTGCATAATCAGTGTCACCATATTACTATTACTAATACTAAAATATTACTGATAAACATTATACAAAATTGTTATATGATGTATTTATTTTTACTTAAATGCCATCTTGTACAGTAGCAAATAAGTTGTACTTCAATCGCGTGTAAACCTTACGCGCACTCTTTTTTTATCAATTTGGAAGCAAAAAATCGAAAATAACCATGTGAAGGGCTACCGTTATATACATATTATTAAATGTGTTCAAATGTTTGTTGAAATTGGCATCATTCATATGTTCAAAATTTCTCCTTAATGATCTTAAGATTGGGGCACAAAATGAAAAAAATTGCTAGCTTAATAAATTTCTGAAAAAAAATACTGGCGCTATTACTACTGAACTAGCAAACTATGAATTTTAAACTTTATGTATATAAATTTTCATTATTATCAATATCTGACTGAGCTATCAAAATATTTATCATCAATCTCACTATAATAGTACATAAATATTTTAATACCAATGATTCAAGTATAACAGTACCAAAAATCAGTCATGAAATATAGGACCATAAAAAATAAACTGAAACATAAAATATGTTGGAAGTTTATGAACGAAATTCGACATTATGGAGATAGTAAAACTATAATACATACTATACTTTGGATTAAAATATAAACCCATAAAAATTTTATACCTTGTGTAGTCGATGATAATGGATTTAAATAATAGAATCATTTTAAAATAAAATTGGATCATAAAAGATATCCATTGACGATGTGTGAATAAAATAAGAGTAAAGTGAGAGTAAAAGCTCATTTATAAAGAGATGAACGCTGACTTTTATGGAAAATTCACTACATATGCAAATATATATATATATATATATACATATATATATACATATACATATATATATATATATATATATATATATAATGCATATAAATTCTTTTGTACTAGATGTTTTGAAGTGATATCATATTGGCCCAGTTTTCTTGCAAATTCATTTCCTTACTTTATAAAAAGAAATTTACTACTTTAAAAGTTGTGGTATAAATTTCAGGCAACTTTCAGTAAATAATAAAAATTTCACATTGAAATAATTAGAAAAGATATAAACTAGCATAAATCTTCCTTTTGATTAATAAAATAACGCAAATATTTAAAAAAAAAACTACTAATACATTGATCTAATGATAGATTAGTCTGCCAAATTTTGTTAAAAACTCACTCAGGAAGGGTATATTATAAATTTAATTAATTTAATTTGCCTATTATATATTTGCCTATTATATTATGCCTATTTGCCTATAGGTATAATTTTAATTTTATTTAGTTTCTGTTACACAAATTTTCTCAAATTTAATAAATTTTACTCTGAATAATTAGGTAAAAGCTAAATTAGCACGAATCTTCCCTTAATTTTTATTCCCTTTATTTTTTCATAAAATGCGGTTTCAATATCAATCAAATACATTGAATAAATAAATTATAAGAATATTAGTTTATTTCCAATAAAAATAAATAAAGTTTAAATTTTTCAAATTATACATCAATTAATATAACAGAATCACCCAAAAGATTATAATGTCAACACCCATTTCGTCTAACATTTTATCTAAGATATGCAACTTAATAACAATAATAAGCAATTTAAAATTGAAAATCAATTTAACCATAAGAGATGTTTTATTATATGAAGAATTAAAAATAATGAACAACATTGATATTATATACAGATTAGCAACGAATTATATACATTGATTAGTACAAGCACTAATTAATTAATAACCAATTGTTTATAACAAATACATATTATTGTACAAACATGATTAGTAGTGAATATGATGCTCTTCATGTAAAACCTTATAATGGTTATAATTATAGGATATATAGCATTTTTTAATACTTCATCTATATTTCCAATTTTTTATATAATAAATATTATATTTATATGTTATATTTTATATTGGCAAGATAATGATGTAAAACGTAGATTTTAATTGTGGATTTAGATGGATGGATTTTAAAGATGGATATTAAAGTGAATAAATTTTACTTCTGATTTTATTTTACTTGGTTTCCCCTTATAGCTTGTGAATATATAGAACTTGATTACAGTTGCTATATCTGTAAAATTCTCTTTTTGAATTGACCATCAACCGGAACCGAAAACGTGATTAATTAAAAAATATAAATATTATATAAAAATGGCAATAATAAACAAAAACCAAAAAATATAAATTTCGCTGATAATAAATCTGCCATAGAAATTCGTTCAAATTTATTTACACATGAAAGGTAGGATAGCATTTTTTGTTTTTGCCAATATATTTTTTGAAGAATGAGTAGATATTTTTTACTTTTAAGGAACTGAGGGATTGAAACTTAGGTAAGAATTCTTCTAAAAAGTGTTTCGTGCCTATCTCATAAATTATTTTCATATATGTACTTCTCTCCCTCATATATTAGTCACGCTATGGTAAGACAAGTTGCTATCAGGTAAAATTTTTAGTAAATTACTAAATTAGAAGAATGGCAGTAGTTTCCTTGATTTTTATAAAATGAAGAAGCATTTCAAATGCAGTTGAAGAGAACTAATTTAGAACCATAAAAGCGCCGACAACAAAAGTCATCTTTGCAAAAATTTCTTTATTTTGCGAAACTTTTTTGACATGCTTTTTATGGACCCCAGGTACAAGACCCCAGATTGTCGCCGAAAAGTCCGACGCCTGCCACAAAACATAGACTTGTGCAAATATCCAATTTCGTCCTAATTATTCTAAAAATCATTTATATACATTCTGTTTCTACTGGACTATGTATGAATATTACTCTAAGCATGAGCAATTTAGCCAATGAATTTTGGTTAGTCACTCACTATGATTCAGAATTAAAATGATACCACACAATCATTTGATATGTACAACTAATCTACGTAACAATTGCTTCAGGAATTGGTTAAAACAAATTTGTTTCTAACATATAATTCATAGTCAATCAGCTAATCATCGGTTTTTCTGTGGATTAAATATATTATAATTGAAATATAAAAAATCCAATATTCAAATTTTGATGGTTTTAAGAGACGTGAATATTATTAAAGAACTTCCATTCCAAAAATAGGATTTGAGAGCACTGCTGAATAATCAATTATTAGATGTAACGGTTTGCTCTCCAAATTTGGCAACAAGTAGAAAGGAATTCTCTTCAAAACAAACATTGACGCAAACTTTACAAGACATTAAGTTAAATAACAAAAAAAAAAAAGATTTAGGCAATGACGTATCAATTCATTTTAAACTTTTCAAAAAATGTGCAAAAATTTTACTATTTACCATATGGTAAAGTAAGCCCCATATAGAAGACACTAGAAAATAGATAAATATTTTTCAAGAGCCCAATATTCAGCAACGCCTTCATTTTTACAATTACACGAACGAATAAAAAAAATCAAGTTTGATGGACCGATTCTGCCGCACAACAGCCCAATGTTATGGCAAGGCCATGTTACGAAGAACTTTCCATACTAAATATTGACAAAGCCATGTGGTTGCTGTGCAGCTAGGCGTTTTTCTCAGGTTGTCAGTTAGAAAACCTAACCTAGAAACCGCACAAATGTCAATAAAACGATCTTAGATAGCAGGGTCTTTCTGACCCAGCTTCATAACTTGCGAGTAACGTTGCAATTTATGTGTTAAACGCCTAAATGCACAGCAAATACATGTCATTTTGACAGTATTCAGTATGATTCAGTGGCATTATGTCAGATAGAAAATCTAACCTAGAAACCGCACAAATGTCAAAAAAACTATCATAGAAAACAGGGTCTTTCTGACTCAGCTTCATAACATACGAGTGACGTTGCAGTTTGTGTGCAAACGCCTGAATGCACAGCAAATACATGAGATTTTGGCAGTATTCAGTATTATTCAGTAGCATAATGTATGCAAGTTGGACGTAACATGGCCTTGCCATAACATTGGTCTGTTGTGCTATATAACAGCATTTTAGTACCAAAATATGCCCCTTAAATTCATTAAAAAATATATTTAATTCATAGAAAATTCGGTGACTATCATCTACTATGAAACAAAAATTTTGGGACTTCAAGTTCACGTTCCTAAAATATCAAAAAACGGTATAAACCTTCTACTTCTTTTAAATTAAAATATGGTTTATAACTATTTTTGAAGTAATTCTTTACTGGTGTAGCATTTGTACAACTGACCATCCATTGGTCAAGCCGTGAAAAATAATGATTTCATTGAAAATGATCAAAAAGTCAGAAGTGAAATTTTCCTTAATTTTTCCATCTGCCTGTAAGATGATATATACATAACTTTTGTCAATCTGTCAACTATCCTCGCAAATTTTCGTTCGCAAATTACTTGTAATATTTTACAGTCAAATGGTTTTATACGCCAAGCTCACCATGGTTTCAATGGTATAATTTTACCATCAGTTTTGCATGAATCTAAAATTTTCACCTTTCCAATGGGAGCTTTTTGTCCGATGCAACCAATTAATCGTGAAGCTCAGCTTTTATTAGGAAATAAATCAATTCACCATAGTCAAAAACAAATAATCAGTCAATCATAAAATCTAATCATAGGCTACACCAAAGGGATAAAAATAACTAAAAACAAACGTGAAATCTTTAACGTGAAGTTTCTCGTCTATTTTGTTTCATGTTAGAAGTCCAACATTTCGACTATTAATAAGTTTTTAGTAAATATAATTATACACGCTATCTAATACTATTTTACTTGGTTTCTAAATTCGAATTTATTTTATCCAGATACCTGAGACTGCATTGAGCCCATTAAAACTCCCATGTCTAATGCAAACTCTGGAGGCTGCAAGCCGATATATAACAAAAACAGAGATATTATTCAATAACATTTCAGAAAATTGTGCCAAATTATGAACTATGGAAAATAATTTTCATATCTACGATTGTGTAAGTACATACGATTTTGTAAATTTTAAAATAATGCAGGGGTGCCCAACCCAAACGCCAGCATTAAAGCTTAGTGATATTGATTCTTCAACATAATGGCAAAATTTACCGCCTAATAGACAACGATAAGTGAAGACTTTGCAAATGAATTTAGACCAATATATGCATATAAATGAGTTTATTCCTGTATAATTGCAAGGTTGAGCATCACTGATTGGAAATAGAGTAGAATAAAAAAAAATAAAAACTAGTATTACAGTAATAAAAATAATAAGAAATTCAAATTCACGAAAAGAGCATCATAGATCAATCAGATTCATGTTTGTAAAATACTCTCTTACATACATATTAGTTTGGGTCAAATTATGTAATCATTGGGGAAAATTGCTAGTCTGATTTTATAGGTCATATCAAAAAATTTTGCCAAAGAAACCATAGCTAAAAAGTGTATTTCAAGGCAGCGAAATTGTCAATAACTTTTTCTCTTTTGACGAAGGAGGTTCATTCGAGTCAAAACAAAACACCCACAAATATAAAAGCCTATGGAAGGTTTGTTTTTTATGGAAACTTCACTGAAAATTTCGCTTGTTCCCAAGCTATGGTTTCTTCGACAAAGTTTTGTAAAATGACCCCTAGAAGCAGAATCGCAATGGTCCTCTTTTCTTAAGCTCCAATACAATTTGACCCGCCCTAACACGCATTATAAATGTGTAAATGTTATTATAAAAAATAATTATTGCAAGGTAAAAATTAAAAATCAAGGAGTTAATACGTCTATACATCCTCTAACCAGATATTTGGCTAAATACTCAAAAAATGATATATAATTTGAATGCTATTAGAAATGTGCTTCAGCTTATAATATTATTGTTGCTTAAATAAAGTGAAAGATATATTTAATAAGAAGGTTTGAGAAAAGCATTCAGTCCATAATTATGAGTTCTCCGTAGCATTGGTGTCAGAAGTGCAAATGAATATAACTTTGCAAAAATCATAAAATTGTATACATGCTACAAATAAATAATTAGAACCAGCTAAAGTAGAGAAGCATGCAAATCTTGATGAAAAATATCACATTCAGATGGGCTTACCTTTTCACCGCTAGAGTAGAAGAAATATTTTAACTTAACGATATTACAATGCTCTAATCTTCTCATTATTTGCAATTCACGATTCTGGAAAAAAATACAAATATAAAAAAAAAACTAATATGACATATTAAAAATTGAGAAACATGCATGGTAAAATTAGGTCAAATATTCTAGCGAATTACATTTTACTTTATAAAGGCAATTTTTTATTTTAAAGGTGGACAGGTAGAATAAATTTTGAAACTGCATATAAAGTACTCTGTATCATTTTCTGCTAAATTCTTGCTGAATCTAGAGAATTGGTTTTGTTGCTTTTTTTACCTTGGTTAAAAAAATACATTGATGGTACCAGAATGCTACTTGGAAAATCACTATTTAAAACAAATTGAGAACTAAGTATGAAAATAATTTAAATAAAATACTAGAGCTTTCATCAAATGAAAATTGGCCATATAAAAATATAAAATTACTCATAATTAAAATTCCTCATTCCTTTCTCACAGCATAGAGTATGTTATATTGACTATGATTTTGAAATCAATATTCAACTTTAATAGAAAAAGTGATTCTAGATTTGAAATGTAGATTAGTTCGAAATAATATGGAATATTTGTTGATTTAAGCAGTAGAGCTCTGCAATCAATGAAGATATTAGTGATAATGCAAGTATATAATATGCAGTTGATGTAAATGTAAAAACCAGAACTTTTTTTTTAAATTTTTACTACATTTTATATAGAATTCTATGTACAACGGGTACTATTTTAAATACATAAAATGAGAAAATCAAATCCAATCAATAAATATGTTTTGGAACCATCAAACACTTTCCTACAAAATATTAACTTTCCAATGACAAAATTACCAAAATAACCCTGACGCAAAAGTGACTCCAAACATAATTATTGACTTAATGGTCCAAAAACATATTTATTGACTTAATGCGATCGGTAAATTGAAGTATATGCGTTCTTTATATTTCTTAAAATATTCTGGCAATATCCAATTAAAACATTAGCACGCGATTGCTAATTAGTAAAAATTACGTTTCTTTGCAATTTCTAAATTAAGAAGTCTCAAAAGAACTCAAGGTTTGTTTCATCGGATATAAGCATTTTTTATACTGAATCGTGCTAAAATAATAATATCATTAAATGCTATAATTTTTTTTATATTTTTAAATTTTGTTTAATATGACTGCATCCAATAAAAACATGGAGGACACATATATCATAATATCAACTGCAAACAAAATTATAGTTAAAAATAATTATTTACTATCAAAGAAGAAATGCCTGAAAATTGACTATTTACCTATTTTAATCTTTAATTTTAATATTGCTATAGGTGCATTTGCACAAGAAACCTTAATTTTTTTTTATTGATTTCAAAAATGCTACGAATTTGTTAATTATTAAATTTGCAGAATAAAGAAGTAAAAATTCTAATTACAAAAATATTAGTAAGTTAATGGACAAACTTTTTTCATAATATATTAAGAATTTAACTGCACAAGACTTATCAAAACTTTTGAGAAATTCCAATTTAAAAAAAAATCCAAATTTGTTAAGTTTGAAATACATTCTGTATTCTATAAATAATATGATCAGTGTAATTATTCCATAAAAATCATCTATCCACTTAAGTTTATTTTTATAATAGTTAACAAAGCTTAAGTATTAGTAATAATTAAAAATCTAAAAAATAATTCTTATAATGTAATATTATTTAAGATCTTCTACTTATTATCTGATAGTTTCCACTGACCTTAAAACGTTTATCTTGAAGCACCTTTTTGATGGCGACGAGTTCGCCAGTGTCACATAGTTTGGCCTGGTATACCACGCCGAAGGACCCATTTCCTATGACCTTGGTGTCCGTGTAAGACACCTCTTGGGGTCTATCTGGCCCTTGCCCTGGCGTGGCCACCACTGTCGTCACCTTGGACCCATCTTTACCTGTGTACGGACCCGCACGGAGCAGGGAGAAACAAGTCAAACATTAGACCATATAAATAAAATAATTGTAATAATAGAAATATTAAATTCATAAAACTTAAAAAACCTAAAAAAAATGTTAAGAAAAAATTCAGGAATTATTTTTTTATTTGTAGTAAAGAAATTTGCATAAATCGCAAATAACTACATATATTAACACTTTCCACTCGCTAATTCCGGAATTTGTATGTTTTTTGCGGCATCCGACTGGAAAGGGTTAATTTATAATATTGTTTATTAAAATAATTGTATGACAAGATCAAGAGAATTAAATATATAATATAGTCAAGGATAGAGAAAACAGAATTTAAATTCTTCTGGATATATAAGGAGAAATTAAGCTTAATCTAAAATTTTCATTGCCATTGCTACAATACTCAAAGTTACATAATAATTTGTATCTTAGCTTAAATTAGAATAAGCACATTTAATATAGTAATTATTAGTATAGACATTTTGGAAATTGATGTATGTTAATGTAACGTAAATTTCATTTTTAATGTTTCCCTGATAGTTTTGTGGCGCAGTATTCTGGAAGTTGGTTTGGGTGATCCTCGAGGCGGCTTTTGTAATTGTCTGAACGTGTTCATTGTGTTTATAATAAGATTAAGTTTGATAAGTCTTCATGTCGTTTATGCTTTTTATGTATTAATCAAATCGGTACATTGGGGAATTGAAAATTATTTAGTAATTTATTTATTAACTCTTTCCACTTGCGAATTGCGAAATATATAGCATTCTGCCGCCGGAGCGGCGGCATCCGAGTGGAAAAAAAAATAATTATTTTAATCCTTTTTTCACTAGATATAAATTAGGGCAAGCAAAAGATTTGTCTATTGCTATATCTATTGTTTATCTATTACTATATATTATTCTGAAGAACTTAAATATATAATATTTAGTACTCCATTTATAACTGTGGTTTCCAAACTATGGGTCGCGATAATACTGTAAGGATACGTGTACAGCTGCTTTCAAATTACTATTCTATTTAAAAAAAAATAAATCAAAAATGTTGAAATGATATAAAAAATAAATAATTATTTTTATATTTTTTTATATAATCTTTCATATTAATTTGTAGTCTGATAAATGAATTATAATATCAGTTAAGTATTTGTAAAATTAGATAGTTAGAAAAAGTGGCAGCATTATTTTTCCAAAAAACGGAAAGATATGCAGTAATAATAGGTTGAGAGCCACTGATTTATAACATACCTGTGCACTAGTGACTTGTTGTAATTTTTTTTTATAGAAGATTATAATAAACTTTGCTTTTGTCTTATAAGGGCAATTTAACTATGCGCATAACAAATTTGTACCAAAAAATCAGTTAACCGTAAACAAATAATTCCATTATTATTGACTTGAATATTTTCACCAAAACTAGCACGTTGAACCCCAAATTAGGTTCTTTGGTTAGAAATCCAAAGATACTAATCAAATCAATCTAATTTAAAGGAATTAACTCAGAAGCTGATCAAGATATTCTAAAATCTTAAAGAGTAAAACAACAATGATCTCCATGCATCTGGTTTAAGAAACCATCTCGAATGTCGTCAAAATTAAAGTTTTAATTAGCAAATGTGATGATTTTGAAAAAAAACTATGACAATGTTTAGTTTTAGCTACTAAAAACTGTAAAATCTATTACGATACTTTTTAATAATAGAATATGCAAAAATGAAGTATTTTATGTACATTATACACGAACAAGACTCGATCCAGACAGGCACGACAATTCTTTTGAATTTCCTACATGATAATTATTGTAGAACCAAATATTTGCCTAAAAATTGAACCGAAATTCAATGTATGAATACATTATATACCAAAATAGCAATTTTAAATTAGCATATCTCAGAATAATTTAAAAGTGCGATCCAGAACTGATAAACGTTCGAAAGAAAAGTCAAAAAGTCATCGCCAGAAAAATATTCAAAATTAAACTCACGAATACAGATGTCAAGTCGAAATGACGCACGAAATGAAAAGTTTATTATAAATCGGTCTCGGCTTTAAATTTAGACGGTCTATTGATAAACAACTACTTTGGACTAAAGGCACATATGCATGTTACACAAAGAATCTTTTGTATGAAATTCTATACAATGTGTATAAGGTCTCCTATAATACTCATGTGTACAGGAGCAGACAGTCTCAAGGAAATGAGAAAGTTGGATGGAGTTGTCGGCCTAAATAGTAAGAAGTAATATCTTTAGCAGAAAACTGTAACCATAGGATTGTAGTAAATTAACTATTAACTTCTATTAAATAGGATTGTATTACATTAACAATTTCATGGTTTCCAACCTGTGTGGCGCGACACCTCAGGAGAGGTTGTCCAGCAGCTTCCAAAATGCTATTTCCAAAAAAATTGACTAAAACGTTTAATATATTTTTACATGATATTTTCTTATTATTATGTATCCTGATATAATTTTATCAGCACACTATTTATGAAATAAAATGGTTAAAAGAATTAAGAGGAGTGCCTGCATTATTTCTACAAAGAACTTCGAAACGCGGTACAAAAAGATTGGAAACCACAAAATGAACTTATTCTCATCTAACCGACAACTTTGAAGAAAACAAAAATATAAAATTTGTGGGCCAA